CCATGAAGGGCTTTGTAGGTGACAAGTAGCACCTTGAGGGGGGGGGGGGGGGTCAGGCCTGCATCCATCTTTGCTTTTGGGTCTCTGGCCTGTCACACTTTCTATTCTTCTGCTATGCCTTTTCTATGGTGGGGAAATGGGACTGTGGGGGATTGTACAGAGTGAGATGCTATGCAGCCATAACAACATTCTTCCTAGAAAGCCAAGGTCATCCTTTGTCTCTGCACCTGACCGGAACTGGATGGGTGGAAGCTGCCATTGTGGAGGTGGGAGATTGGACCATGGGATGGACTTGGGGAAGGGGGGGGAAACCGGGAAGCTTTCAGATTCGGCTTTTCCCAGATGTGCCAACGTGGCTCTCTTAATCAATTGGAACTTTAAGCAACACTTCGCCTTGGACTCTGATTTACTTTTGGAGGCTGTTTGGGACCCTGGCACTGGGTTTCTGCAGGGGAGTTGGCACAGTGGCACAGTTGCAAGATTGCCGCCACTTTGGGGCTTTTCGAAAAGGCAACTGGACTTTCTTGAGGTTTTGCGTTTCCTTGAAAAAAAACCTTTTGCTTTTCATCCAAGAATCCGGAGACTTTTCAAGAGGGACTGGACAGAAAGGGGTTCCCTGTTTGAACAAACCAACCTTTGTGGCTTGACAGACTGACTGCAGGGGGGAGAGGGAAACTGGGCCATGTGAGCAGCGGACCAGAGTCACGTAGGCACACACGCAGCCCTTACACAACTGCCAGGCGGGCACACTCACGCGAAAGTGCCCGCCAGCCTGCTGCTTGTACAAGCCGAGCTGTGTACGCGTCTGCACTCCAGCCAGTCACTTGTAGAGCCCGGTTTCAAAAAGGCCATGCCCAGTAGTGGGCCACATCTTGCGGGGGGGGTGGACTAGAAGACCTCTAAGCTCCCTTCTTCCTCTGTTCTTCGGTTCTAACATCAGAAGTCACCAAAGACGCTTCTTAGATGGGAAGCGAAATGTTTTCAAGGGGCAAAAAAACCAGAATGTCCTGTTGCCTTTTGCAAAAATCACATTTGGGGTGGAGGATGGACCTGGAGGATAGAGAATCCCCCCTAGGGGGCTCCTCGGGGCAGATGGGAAAGGGGTTTCCCAGAGGGAACCTCCAAAGAGCAGCGGAATCGGACAGGGGTTGAGGAGAGAGAGGAGAAGATCCATCCAAGGAAAGGAGTCTGGGAGGTTGACCCTTGCAACGTCTAAGACAGTGTTTCTCAACCTTGGCGACTTTAAATCCTGTAGACTTCAACTCCCAGAATTCCCCAGCCAGCATAGCTGGCTGGGGAATTCTGGGAGTTGAAGTCTACAGGATTTAAAGTCGCCAAGGTTGAGACACACTGTCTTAGACGTTGCAAGGGTCAACCTCCCAGACTCCTTTCCTTGGATGGATCTTCTCCTCTCTCTCCTCAACCCCTGTCCGATTCCGCTGCTCTTTGGAGGTTCCCTCTGGGAAACCCCTTTCCCATCTGCCCCGAGGA